TTTCTGATTGTGATGATGATGTGTGTGGTTGTGATGATGGTGATGATGATGATGATGATGATGATGATGATGATGGTAATAATGTTAATGATGATGGTGGTGGTGGTGGTGTCTCAGATGCTGAATAACTTGATTTCCAACTATAATTTTCAATATCAAGTATATAGGTGTTTGCATTAATTGATTTTGGACCTGAATCATTATTTGTGATATTTCCTATATATATATATATATACATTTATACATTTATTTATTTTGATTAATTAATTTTTTATGATTGAAGGATAAAAAATTTTTTTTTAAAAAATTACCAAAACTTATTATCATTTGATTGCCAATTAAATTTGCGGTATGAAACATTAGAGGTGGGGCACGATTAACAACTGAAAATTTAGGTGTAGACCATCGAAAAGGGTTTGCGGTAGAGTCCAGTACAAGAAGTTCTGGAAATGCTGTAGTAGGTGGTGTAATAAATAATGCACCACCATAAACAATTATCTTCCCATCCTTTGCTATGTATTATATATATATATAAATTTAGTATGGTTTTAAAAAATTTAAAATTGAAAATATATTATAATTAATAATCATTTACAAAGTACAGCTGAATGACCAGTTCGAGATTGGATAGATGGTGGACCATTTGCCATCTAAAATTTTCATCGAGGTGTAAGAAAAATTAAAATGAACTGATTGTTTTTTCCCATAAATAATCTTGTAAACATCATATTTTAATTGATTGAATATTTACCATGATTGACCAAATTGATTTTTTTGTATCAAAAATTCTTATCTATAAAATAAACATGTATTTAACTATAAATATATGCCTATTTTTTAAAAAAAATTGTGTAATTAAAAATTTTCATATATATATATATAAATAAATACATACTTTATAGATGTCAACGGCATTATTAGTTTTGCCTGTAGCGTCAGTTGCTTCTGATCCACCAATATATACAATTCTACCATCAGGTAATAAATTTGAAGTCAGGTCAATAGTTGGTAATGGTGGATTAGTTGCAATGACTAGATCCCAAGCCAAATCTATTGTATTCAAGGTATGCATCTCATTAAATACTGTAAGAGTAGAAGACCCAGTATAGCTATCTGCTCCTCCACCAAAAATATACATTTTCCCATTCTCATCTACAACAACACTACTTTCTCTACGGTTGATGGGAGTAATGCCAGTTGTTGTTGGAACACTCCAAACTTTTGCATTTACATCAAATGTATAAAGTAAACTGGTGAAGTTAAATAAATCAGTGCTTGAATCTTTCATAACTCCACCAAACAAAAATATCTTTGAATTATTTGTTCCGCCAGCTGCAGCTACACCCCAAGAACTTTTTACAGGAATTTTGGTACTTTGAATCCATTGCACACTGTCAACATTGAAATCATTAGTTAAATCCACATAAATCATTGAATCAAGTATAGATGATGTTTCTAAACTATAACCTCCAAGAACATAAAGTTTATTATCTGCCACTACACTAACAGCCGAGTAACGTGATACATTAGGTTCAGAAAATACATCGGCATTAATAAATATCACAACATATATTAAATAAAGCCCTCTTTTATCTTTGAAATTTAAACCCATTGATTATTATTTTTTTTATCAACTATTATTATTTCCCAAGTATTGCATATATTTATCAATGGCTTCATGCATTAATTTTTTTTTGTATTTTCCATTTTTTAATGGGCCGAAGTAAAATAAAAGTACTATTTATAGTAAAGTGATAATGCGACCAAAGATCATTGGCAAATACACAAAATGCACAAAATGCACAAAATGTAAATACTAAATGCTGCAATGATCGATGTCCTAAATTGTAACCAGCGCACAAAATTTTTGAATTTCGGGAATTTCCTGAAATGGAATAATGATAGTTGTATGACATGTCACATCATATTGTATTAGTATTATATAGTATGTAAATTTAAATTTGAAAATTCGTGTCACATGAAGCTTTGTTATTGTCACCGATTAAATTTGGGAGAGCGTATTTTAATTGGCGATAACAATTATTTTTGTTTTGTGTGGATCAGAATGAATAGGGACCAACGAATTGATTTTGGTATTAGCGAATAATTTTGGTTAAAGAAGATAAAAGTTTTAAATAAAATATTTCTATTTTATTTATTTAGTTTCGACTAAGGAAAACTTTCTTACAAGTTACTTTTACATTAGGTCGAAATCAAGTACTTTATACACATGTTCTTTACATATTAATATTAGCCCGAATTGCGCGAATCCGCTCGGTTTGGGCGAATCCGCACGTTACGGAAGAATTGTCATTAATTTCTACTAAATAAAGTTAAATAACAATAAATATGAATGTGCTACGGATTGATTAATAATTAAGTACGCGAAACGTAACACGAATTCAGATGATAATAAATAATTATATATACACGTTATTGATAAATAATAAAAATAAATAAAATAAAAATAAAAATAAATAATAGATTAAATAAAATAATAATAAAAATAAAAATAGAAATAAAATTTAAGAGATTCGACCAAAAGATCTGCGTCAAAATCTAATTATTTTTATAATAAACTCGAACTTCGTTGTTAGAGTAAAATGAAAGTACTCCATTAGGGGAAACACGCATAGAACAAAACAACAAAGCTTTAGTTATGATGTTTATTATGTGTGCATTACCTTTCTACCTTGTAGAAAATTCATTTTTCATTAATTTTTTAAAGCATTAAATCCTGGATATCAACAAATTTACCTGATTTACATGTTATTGAAAAAAAAGAACAAAATAAAAATATTTACTAGATGATGTTGTTATAGATAAAAATGGAGATGCAGTTGAATGGGATCCATATGCTGTTTTACAGCAATTAGATAATGAATAGATAACGAATTCAAATTTTTTATGTTCGTTTTGTTCTAATAATTACATTTTAATAAATATCAAATGTTTTATAATAACAATGTTTTTAAAAGTGAGACAATATAAATAGAAAATTGATCTAACTACATCACAATTATGTTGCAACACTATATATAGTTTTTATGTAATATGTAAAGTTTTGGACATTTGATATTTGATTACAGAGGACAAGCTTAATTTGTTGTTTAATTTAAATGGTCAGTATTCTTTAATTGCAGTGTTGTGTCATTTATGGTCCCAATAAATTTTCATTAGAACATTCTAACAAATTTCAATTGGAGTTAGAACGTCCCAAATATGGTTCTACTGAAGTTAACCAATGAAATCTTGATTTATGTAACTTTTGATCATACTGCCTCAAATTCTATGTTTTCGTATTTGTGTTTTTAGCCATCAAAAATCATGCTAAGAGTGCCACTAGGTCCTTTGCCTATAATTTCATCTTCATTAAGAACATAATTAATTTGTTCACTTAATGCTTCATCTTGAATACCAAACAAATGAACTTTACATAGACTAGGATAATAAATTTTACTTGTTGATCTGAATGTGGTATATGAACATTTTGGGCTCAATCATAAATATAATGAACAGTAGCATCAATCCTGCAATATGGTGTTTTACCCTTTGAATAATTTTAATTAATTGATTTTCTTTGTTCTTCTGCCAATTTAATGTTTTTATTGTAATAATTTCTTTCTAATTTGGCCTTGGGCAGATTTTCTTTAAATCTCTTGAGTAATTCTTTAGTTTCTCCTTCTTGGTGAGCATTATAATGTAAACTATTTCTAAAATGTTGACAAGTATCACAAAAGTCAGTCCTGGGACTCATAATTTGAATCTCTGGTGTCAATTGATGACATGGTTTTCTGAATACATCATATTTTAAAGATTTCAATTTGCTATCTTCTTCTAGACCAGCTAGAAAATCTCTGTGTACTGGTTTATAACTCATTTCAGTAAGAATACATTTGATTGGGTTATTCTATTGTAATTGATACTCCTTCCTGGACCTGATAATCCATGGACTTTGGCATAATTTTCTTCAACTACTTCTGCAATATTTTTATCAATCACCATTTTGGTTTTCCATTGAGGCATCCTTTTAATATTACCATCAATTATTGGCAGAATACCATTGTTTATTAGATGATTTCTAATGTTTTCCAAATAAGTCCTACATATTGAGATAGGTTTTTGGAAAAGTAGTGTATTATGATAAAAGTCCTTTTGTTGGATCTGGCTTTCTTTTTAAGGTATCTATTAGTGCTTATTGATCCACCATCCATTGACTTAAGTTGAGCCATTAAAAATATGTCTTGGAAAGAACTTGAAGGTTTCCCTTACTTCTGCAAATTGTTCTTTGGAAACTCTTGAAGAATAACCACATTTATAACTTTTTTCTAAAAAATCAATTGCTTTTTGATATTCATTAGAACCATTATATTTATTATTACTTTTTGTATACTGATATATAAATTTTATAGTTTTTTGAGAAATTTGATATTTGTCAAAATCATAGTATTGTGAAATAATGACAAATTAAATTTTTTATATTTTTTATTTAAGAAAACAAGACTTACAAATTATATGATGAAAATTTATGTACACATAAAAGAAAATGAAATTTAGAATTAAAATAGAGAATAAAATATGCATTCATAATTTTAAGAAGCCATCATATTTGCATCCAATGGAACTTTTAAGAGAATATTATTTGATAGAATGTATATATAATTTGTGGTATTCTTTCTGCATCTTTTCCTTGTTTTGTTTGGAACTTCTGCTTATTAAATGTTAAATAAATTTCATCTGGAACTGCAAAATATAGTTGCCTCTTTTGTTTCATTCTGAAGTTCATTAAGATATTTAATTACTTTATTAATCACATTTTGTTTAATTTGAAACTGTCATTTGAAAAAGTCTGTGATTTGAAGATTTAGTTCCTGGAATTAATGCATCAATTGATTCAAATGAATGTATAGATGGATAACAATAAAATCTTGATGCTCTGTTGTTATTTGTTCAAGCTTTGAAAACTTAAAGATTCCTTTCAGTCAAATTTAATTCACTAATTAAAGAAGCAGATGCTCTACTGCTAAGTTAAGTTTTTTCTTTGCGGATTTCCTTCTTCTGGCTCTTATTTCATATTTTCCATCACCCTTTAACATTTTATGTGAAAACTCATCAAACAGATTACCACAAATGCCACCTGCAACTGATTCATCTTCATATGTTTTTAAAAAATTATGTAATGAAAACTCTTGTTCATTTAAAAATTTTTGATATATTCTTTCTCTGATGATAAATGATGCAAATTGAACCTTGTATTGTTGAAAAGTTGAGTCTACTATACTGTGTAGTATCATGTGAGAAGTATCATGAAAAGCATCAGTATCACCAATAAAATTTTATTATCTTATTAAGGTCACAGGTTCTAACTGCATCCTCCATCTTATCAATTGTAATTTTCTTTTTCCATTCAAAAATATAATAAGAAATACCTCCACATAATTCAAATAATTCCTTTGCATCATCTATGGATATAGAAGAATATAATGAATTAAATAAAGCATATTCTATTTCATCTATTGACCATGTTGACATATAATAGGGTTGCCACTTCTGCAGTTTTTTTACAGACTTTGCTATCTCTCTTTTAGATGAAGTAAGAACTATCATTGTTGCAGAATAATTTGAAGGTACCAAACCAACAACTATTTATATTGTTGATTTTAATTTAACACCATGGAAAATTCATCCAAAGTTTTCCCTTTAAAAACTTTACATTCATTTGATGAAAAATGAAAAACAATTCCTTGAAAGTTGATGTGTTGATAAATTTATTTCCTTTTTTAATTTTGCAAAAGAATACAACAAGTAAAAACCAAAATATGACTTTCCTATGCCTGGATTACCAGTTATAAGAAATAATTAAGCATTTTCATTTTTATTTTCATTTGAATTTCGCTTTGAATTTCTTTCATAAATTTTATTGTAACTCTTTCTAATAAGGTAGGATTGTTGTTCCCAAAGAAGGAAATGCCATTTAGAAGTGAAAAAATGTTATTTTGCACCAAGCTGTCTGAGTCAAGTAATGTTTCCGAAAAAGTTGGATGTTTTCATCAGCTTTTATTTCAAAAGAATCTAAAATTATAAATTAATTAATAAGTCAATTAACAATATAAAAGAATATACAAAAAACATAAAATGTCTATCCTCATTAACTAGATGATGAGAAAAATGAAAGAATAATTTTGAAAATTGATAGATAGAAAGAGTTGTAATTTAAATTATTGAAAAAAACATAAAGTTAAAGTTGTAAACAGTATGCCAAATAAATAAATAAACGAAATGAGTGAATGGAAAATAATTTGTATATTTTTTTGTGCAATTTGTTCATTACCTTCTCTTTTACTTAATGCCTCTTGGTACAACATATCCCGACTCTTCAAACTTCTTTTCATCCATTAAATATTTTTCCTCGCACCCTTCTTCACCTCCTTTCCACAATTCCTTTAACCTCTTTCCCCCCACTCCTTTAACTTCTGCCCAGTCTTCTATAATTGTTACTAGCATAATTTCGACAAATGATAAATTAGTGGGCACATGACTTGGAATTTATTTACGAATAAATTATTTTTATTTTTTAATTCAACTTATAATAGAAAAATATGAAAATACTCGGTCAGACTTAAAGCCATTTGTATTACCTATTCTTTGGGCACTCTGATAAAAATTCAACCTTCACTATTACCATTTCTACTATTATCATTATTACTAATATTAATATTTACATTGTTATTTTTATTATCTTCAACTTCACTCGCAGAAAGAAAAATCATACATGATATAAAAATTCTTTTCTTTCAGGTGTTATTATCATGAATTTGAACCATTTGGACTTGTCCATCTATCTATCCCAAGAGTAATATTTGTAATATATTGTCAAATTTTGATTCACAAATGCAACTTGACTATCCAAAATCTACCTGACAACATTTCACAAGAAGGAAGATTATAACCAAGGTTTTAATGCTTTTAATAAGTTAATAAAACAGGATTTTCTATGATATTAAATGGAAGTCCACAACAAATAAATGCAATAGTCAGAACCACATCAATTTGTTCTTAATGTGAATGTTCAATTGATGTAGAACTATAGTAAGGAATCAACTTTAAATTGTTGATCATTACTAATTTTTCTATTATTTGATGTAGACTTCACCCAATCATTGAGGATTTCATATGAATCACTTCTTCTTCACAATGACCCAATTATAATATTGTTTAATATCTGCATTTATTTGTTAAATGAATGACCATTTTTTATGGCAATGGATACATTCACTTCCATATATACCATGTCCCTTTTTCACCTTGAATAAATTGTCTCTCTATACACATGTAAATTGTCTACCACGATTAGAAGAATTATTGCCTCTTGGTCTTTTTTTTATTATAAAATTCCTACAGCATCATATAATTTTGTTACAGCTTTTGACACCTGGTTGCAAATAGTATGTGCTAGATACAACTTCGTTTTATTCATTTTATTTGAATTATTCATTTTATTTTATTTGAATTCCTTGTTTTATTTGTTTTATTCAAATTATTTGTTTTATTCGAATTATTTATTATTATTTGTTTTATTTGAATTGTTTGCTTTATTTGAATAGAAACCCTAGTCTGGATTGTGACCTGGCTGGTTCTTTGATTAGACTGGTGGTCTTTGGATCAAACTATTAATAATCTTAATGAAGGATATAAGTATATCTTTAGACCAAATAATAAAGGTTTATCCTTCCAAATTTGTCAGGATATGCTGAATTTGGGATTTTTTTTACTTTAAAAGTCAAAAATTTACTTTTTTTAAAAGCTAATAACTAATTGAAAATTTTCATTTCTCTTTTTTAAAATTACAGTATTTAATCTTAATATATCTAAAATTTATATAAACATAAATAATCATGGATGATGAAGCTGCAGCAGTAAGTCATGTTTTGTTTTTAATGGAATTTATTTATTGTAGATTTTCTTAAATCAAATATTTTTATTTAAAAATCCCTCTAAAAAATTTTTTTCATGAACAACATTATTACTTTTATTAGATTGTGATTGATAATGGCTCTAGTACATGCAAAGTCGGTTTTGCTGGTGATGATGCACCAAGAGCTGTAAGTGATAATTTTTTTTTAAAAAAAAATTATGATAATTGTAATCATAAGATCAATTGTTCCTTTTTCTTTAAAAAATAAATGTAATTGATAATGATGATAACCTTACTAATTTGTTACTTTATTTCTATTTGCTATTGTTGTTATTATTATTATCGTTATTTATATGCTTTTATTTTTTGCTAGGTTTTCCCAACTATTGTGGGTCGTCCACATCATCAAGGTGTTAATGTTAGTATGGACGAAAAAGATTCATATGTGGGTGATGAAGCTAAATCAAAACGTCGTACCCTTACCCTTAAATATCCTATCGAACATGGTATTGTAACCAGCTGGGATGATATGGAAGAAATTTGGCGTCATACTTTTGATAATGAACTTTGTGTTGCTCCAGAAGAACGCCCTGTGCTATTAACTGAAACGCCCCTCAATCCTAAATCAAATCGTGAAAAAATGACTCAAGTCATATTTGAAACTTTCAATGTTCCAGCTTTCTATGTTGCAATTCAAGTAAGTATTCTCCATCCATTCAACTTGCATTCATGTACACAAAATATGTTGCTTCTTCTTCCTCATCCTCCTGTCCTCAAGAAAAAAAAATTAATTTTTAAATCATTATTTTAATAACTAGGCTGTTCTTGCATTGTATGCTGGTGGTCGTACAACGGGTATTGTGCTTGATTCTGGTGATAGTGTTACTCACGCTGTACCAATTTACGAGTGTTATGCTCTTCGCCATGGAATTATTCGTCTTGATTTTGCTGGTCATGATTTGACCAATTATCTTATGACAATTTTTATGGAACGTGGTTACTCTTTTTCCACCACCGCCGAACGTGAGCTTGTTAACGATGTCAAAGAAAAACTTTGTCATGTTTCTTTGGACTTTGAACATGATATGCTAGATTCTGTTCCTTTAGAAAGGTCGTATGAATTGCCTGATGGTCAAATTATTACTATTGGTAATGAAAGGTTAGTATCATTTTTTTTTTAAGAACCAAATTTTCTATTAAATATTATAATTATTGATTGATTTTTAAGTCTCTCTTTTTTTAAATAGATTCCGTACACCTGAAGCTCTTTTCCAACCATCTTTATTAGGTAATTTAGCTACTGGTATTCATGAAACTATACACGATTCTATAGCGAAATGTGATGTAGACATTCGTAAAAATCTTTACGGCAACATTATTCTTGCTGGGTTAGTATAAATTGTTTAAATTTTTTTTTTTTTGAACCCAAATGAGGAATGTTGAAGAAACCATGTTATAAAAGATCCGGGAAATTTATTGTATGATTTCTAAGCTAAAATTAATCTTTGTGACGAATTGCATATAGTGACATTATTAACTCAAAATCACGATGTTTGTAGTTATCCTCATTTCTATTATTCATGCATTATTTTAATGGAAAATATTTTAAAATTTTTTACTCTTCATGATGAATTACACATTAACTGAAAATTGACTTTTGGCAACATTCCTCATTTCTATTGAACAGACCCGATTTGTGTGTGTATATATTTATTTATTAAATATATATTATTTTTGTCACAGAGGCAGTACTATGTATTCCGGTATTTCAGACAGAATGCACAAAGAAATCACAAAAATAGCACCTCCCAGTAAGTTGTTTCTTTTTTTGTTTAATAAATATTTGACATATACTAATAAATTATGAAAAAATGTTTTTTTTTTAAGCTATGAAAGTTAAGATTTTTGCTCCACCAGAACGCAAATATTCTATTTGGATTGGTGGTTCTATCTTAGCTTCGGTATATAAATCACAGATATTTTTTTTTTAAAAAAATGTGGAGAATTTTGTTTAACTAACCTTTTATTTCTTTTTTTAAGCTTTCTACTTTCGATCAAATGTGCATCAGTAAAGAAGAATATGATGAATATGGTCCTTCTATTATCCATCGTAAATGTTTCTAGTCGCTTGACATTTCCCGCAAGTCTAGTAATAGTTTGTAAAATTTTGATGGCATCATAGTAAAATTCGAATTTACGTAATAGTAATATAATCGAATGTCTTCACATCCCCATTTTGATACCCTTGTTACTCAAGGTATAACCTGCTTGTAATATATCTTCTTTAAGAAAATTTTTAAAATATGTTGTTGTTAATAAAATCGAAAATAATCTCAAAGTCAAATTTTGCCTTTATATGTAGAAATACTCGGACATCCTTTGTTGTCACGTCAATGTTGCATCTACAACTGTGAAATTGTTACACGATTCATTTCTTATTCTTATTTGAACACATTGCACCGTGTTTGTTGAATAATTAATTGAAGAGAAATCATCATTTTCAACAATGCAATCGTCGTTATTCATCATTGTTGTATTATAATTTAAATTTAAAACAATGAATTGTACAACTACAAATTATCAACAATTTATATTTGTTATTCAAGCAACCAACCATTCAATGTAGCATGAATATCCAAAATTAATTGCAATAATTTAAATAATAACCTTTATTTGAATGGAGATTATAAAA